TACACTACCTGTAGATCCGATGTTATTATTGCAACGAACAGGTAGTGCTTGTATGAGCGAGGATGGCTGGCCACCAAATAGTATCAGTCCGGAAACAACCGAATATTTCTATGACGATACATGTGGAGTAGAAGAACCACAGGCGTCACACGTTGTTGGTTGTCAACAGTGTCATTGTACGCATCCATTACCAACAATGTCCTGCGTAAAAGCATTGGAAATGTTTGTGGGTCGCGTAAATGTAAGTTTGAATTTTACGAGAATCAAATATAACAAGACAATAGCTGACGAGTGGCGATTTCCCAATGAGCCATCCATTAATTCATTCGGTGAAGTGGCACCTGTTAATATATTTGAATATCTACCCGATTTGCAAAGTAACCGCGTAATCTACCTTTACATTCAACCAGATGGATGTGAAATTGTTGAGCAATGTGTTAGTGGAAGTGGATGGCGTCGTCTCCTGACCTTCTCAACAACAACACCTAATTTTGGAACACAAGATTTACGTCTTGGCACCGTTTCCTACTTTACAAATGGGTTACCCAATGATGCTATCACTAAACATCAGATTTTCGAATATTCTCCATGTCACAAACATTTTCATTTCTCACACTATGGATCATTTACATTTGGAAATCTAAAGGATCAATCAAATCTAACAAATAGCAAAAGAGGATTTTGCTTACAAGCTGTGTATCGTCATGCTAATGCGGAGTGGAGTCCATTGAATCAAGATTATTATACATGTTCATTGCAAGGCATACCAGCGGGCTGGCGCGACACTTATCAAAGCGGATTACGGTAAGATCAAGTCTTGTCTTTTTTTATAAAGGAAACAAAAAAATTTACTGAATCAGTCAGTTTATTACTCTAATATGTCTTATTTTTAAATTTATCTTTATTAGATGTCAATGGATTGATGTCACTTCGATCGACACTTCCATTCAATCTTATACAGCACCTCTGTATTCATCACTGAATCCAGATGGATTTCTTTGTGAAGGTACACCACAACCTGATACTTGGGTACGTACAGAATTTAACACGACATGCTGTTCGAGTCAAGGATGTTGTGGTAATTCAAATGAAACGCAATGTTGTGGAGGTGAACCGGTGGATCGAGCCGGATGTGAAACATGGGAAGGAGCACAAGAAGATAACGTATCAGAAGTAATGGTGACACTACCATTGTCAGGTGAAGGACAAGTAACTGAGAAATGTTGGAATTCGACTGGGTCATGGAGTGAAAAGAGAGATTGTGGATTGAAGCTACATCCAAAAGGCAAGTATTTAACGTGCAATAAGCCAGGTCAACAAGTAGCTCTCAAGAATGTAATTTCCACTGATTTCTATCAGGTGGTTCGTGTATGTGAAGCGTCGATTGCTCTTCGCTCAGGTCTTGCTTGTATATGGAACGATTCACTTGCCAATGTTATTATCAGTCATAGAGATGAACCACGTGACGTCCACTTCATCTGTCCACCAAAACGAGATTCTATTGAAACTGGTGGTCGATTCGCTGTGTATTTTGGACCATTATTCACTGAACTCACTTTTAGCGACGTATCTTGGTCAAGTATTGGCCAATAGATCTAGCATTTATTCGTAGTTTTCAATCATGAACCGAAAACAATAGTTAGAAATTGAGGGTGTGGGTGGTATTAAGATAATACCCATATCCATACCCTTAATAATTCATAAATCAATAATTATTTTTATACTAACTACATGCTCGTTTATTTCTTTTACATATCTCATTTTACAACGACAAAAATCTGTTTTCTTTTTAAGCATAACAAAACAATAAAAGAGCAGAGAAACATACGCACATACAAACAAAAAAACTTCACCTTTGATTTTTGCTGTCTAGAGAAGAAGAAAAAAAAGTAACAAGTAGAACCAACACAATAGAACAAATATAGGAGAAAAAGAAATAAAACAATAAAAAAAATGATCAGTTCGGAAGCGTTTTAATATCAAATGCGAATATATGTTTCTATCAATTGAATCATCAAAAACAATATAATCTATGTAAAAAATATGTTCTAACTAATTCTATATGTATGTATATATATATGATGAAGATTTTATGTTTGTATTTCTCATTCCCTTGTCATCAAACACATGTAAAAAGTTACCTTTACAGTAGAAACTAATGAGAAAAATCTTTCAATAAAAAACAAATAAATAAGTAATAGGAGCAGCAGCAGCAGAAAAAAAAGAACATTAGTCGATTGCTTATTTTGTTTTTGACTGAGAAACATCGTTGTAAAATTATAATTCATCATCATTTCTATGATTAACCGGTATTATACGTTGAACTTTAACAATATACTGTTCATCTTGTTCACGTTCAGGCCAATCACCAATATCATTAACAGAAAATGTTTGTTGTTTATTTAATGTTTCTTTCCACCAACTATCATTAGCTGTATAACGATTTTCACTTGTTGGTAATAATTGACAAATTTCAATAGGTTCTTGAATTTTAACCGGTTTAGCTGATGGTATTGTTGGTTCAATATCTAAATCAGTTTTATTTGTTGATGATGATGATGATGTTGTATTTGTATTTGATGTTGTTGGTATTGATCGCTTTTCCGAAACAGTCTTACGATTTGATAATGCAGATGGTGATGATTCAGTTTTGCCTTTATTTCGATTACGATTGCTAACCTACAATAACAAAAAAACATTAATTTCACTTTAGTGAATAAAACTGTTTAACTATGAAATCATCGCGTGACAATCATTTACCCTTAGATTATGCATATGGGAAAACAACACTAAACTTATTCATGTGTACTAATGTTGTAGTAGTTTACAAAATAAACACACTCGCTGTTTTATTTATATTGATTCCGTTATTAACTAATTCTAATTATTTAAAAACAAAGCATACCTGTTTAGCGCTTTGAGTAACCCATTGTCCTTCATCTTCTTGATCACTGCTACCTTCACCATCAACATTTGATGTATGCTTAACTTCCGAATTAATAGGTGCAGGTTGTTTCTTATTTGAAGAAGTAGTAGCATTGACCTTGTTACTAGCATCACCTTTAAACATGAAATGAGTTCTATATATTTTCATTTTATCAAAACTAATCATACCTTTTCCTGATGTTTGTTGTTTATTCAATGTAGCTGTACCATTTGATGATGTGGAAACTACACCAGATTTTGATTGTTTCTTTTTATTATCTCCACTTTGTTCTTCAACATTTCCAGCACGTACGGGTACTTGTTGTTTTGTTGTTGAAGTAGCACTTTTATTATTTTCGCCTGAAGCAGCTACTTTTTTACCTGTTAACACTTTATTTGGTGGTGTTGACTAAATAGATAATATCATAATATTAAATTTTTCTTAATTGATAAACAAACTTTTTTTGTTGGTGCAACAAGTGTTGCTTTTTCATCTTCACTTTCATCTGATGGCATACTTGGTGACGACGATGATGATGATGATGAAACTGGAACTACATCTTTTTTTGTTTTAACATTTTTCTTTTTATTAACAGATGTTGTATCAGTTTGCTGTTTTTTTGTATTCGATTTTTTCTCTTTATTTGAATGTTGTTTGGATGAAATTGTCTTTGTATTTGTTGATGAAAAGAAAACTCGACAAGCAACAGTAGAGATTAATAATACAGCTAGTATAGCTCCAGATATGATGGCTAACATAGATAATGATACGCTACTAGTTAATTGTTCAAATAATGATGCTGAAGACATTTTCAAATTAATGATAAGTATTGTACAGAAGAAGAAGAAGAGAAGAAAAACAGCGTTATGAAAAGTAGTAGAACAATTAGATTCGACAAGAATATTATCAAATAGAGACTTATAGAGTAAAACTAGCTATCGTCATCAATCGTTTATATCATATTTTGAATTCGAAATTATTTAAAATATTAATAAAAAATCGTACAAAAGTAGAATCCTAATGACAATTAACATTTAATAAAATATTTGGTATAGATGTCGTTGTATATATATGATAAATTGAAAATAAAAAATTATTGGATGTTCAAAATTTGAAAGTATTCTCATCATTAGATTGATTGTCAATTCTGAAAATTTTGATTTATAAATGCGAGCTTTGTATCGTATACCAATATTAGCTATTTCAACCGTTTTATTATGTAAAAATATGAAACCTATATCTTATATTTCAATTATAATCTTTTCATTTTTAGTGAAATGTTTACAAAAATTAGAAGAAATCAATGATTATGTTCGATCACCACCACCTATAAAATCTACTGAACAACCTGCTTCAAGACCTGCTCGTTTTGTTAAAAGTGTGATACCAAAATCTGATGACAGATAATAAAAAAAAGAAGATATATATCTATATATTCTTTTTGTCGTTGAGACATAGAAAATCATGAATGATATTTAAAAGAAACAATTGTGTGAAGTTTTTGATAATGTTTAGAAGTATTTTATTCTTGTAGATATTGAATGAATGACGTGGTGGATTATTCATCGTTTCTTATTAACTATATCTTGGTTTTCTTTAATAGGTTAGTCATAAATATATGATATTTCATTATTTAATAATTAATTTCTAGTTAATACTGATTATCTTTCATCATATGGTATTAAATCATATAGAATTATTCGTGCAATTCATGATGAAACAAAAACAACTTCCTATCGACAAAAACGTTCAAATCTTGAAGATAATCCACATCGTATTCTTACACTTGAACTCGATCATAAGTAATAATTTAAGTTTATTTGAAATTTATTTATTTATTTTCTATTTAGAAATATTACATTGATTTTAAAAAATACAAATGAATTCTTTTCTACAGATGCAGATATACAATTTGGTTCATCAACTTTTCTTCCTATTAATTCGACGATTCTTTATGAAGGTTATGTTTTAGGTAATTAACTCTCTTATAAATATAATAATCATGTTCTATTGCTTTTATTTTCGTAGATCATCCTGAAACATCATATGTTACTGGTGGATTTTATTCAAATTGGTTTGATGGTATTATAAAATTATCGAATGAAACATGGCATATTGAACCAACACGTAAATATAATTTTTCTTTATCGAATGATGGTCCATCAATTATATACAATGCACTCGATATTGATATGACAAAATATAATAGTAATGAAGCATTTCGATATAAACGTTATGTAATGAATGAAAATGAAACATTATCATCTTTTTGTGGACTCAATGATAATAAAATTCGAGAAAAAATGCAAAAAGAATCAGAATATTTAAGTAGAAATCAAGATAATGGTTTTGATTACAACTCACGTTCAAAACGACAAACAATGAATAATACGGAACGTACTTGTTGTTATATTTATATACGTATAGATCCAACACTTTGGAATCTTGTTTATAATAATGAGGGACTTAATGTATGAAAATATTTCTAAATATAATCTTTTAAAATAATTTCATCGATTTTTATATAGGAAAAAGAAGCAACTATACATGCTCTTGTTACATTTTTATATCGAGTAGTAACAGCAGCAAATACAGTATATCGTTCTGTAAAATTTCAATCGAATGGTGATTTTCTTCATCGATTTACATTAAGAATAAAACGAATTCGGGTAAGTTATCTATTAGATTTTAAGTTTAATTGATTATATTGTATTCTTTAGATTTTAACAATGGATGATTGTAAACAGAAGAATATCAGTTTAAGTGAAACAAATATATGTCGTTCATATCTTGATTCGAATGTTTTATTAACATGGCATTCAGCAGAAAATTTTGCAGAATATTGTTTAGCATATTTATTCACGGCAAGAGATTTTGGTGATGGAACATTAGGTTTAGCATGGATGGGAAGTACTGCACTAAGTATGTTCTTTTGTTTTTATAAAAACTTGATCAGAAAAAAATTAATTGAAATTTATCTATTTTAGATACTCGTGGTGGTATTTGTGAAAAACCAGCGAAAGATATTTATGATGGACAACGTATTATAAAAACTTTAAATACAGGAATGATAACAATTATTAATCATAATACACGAATATCAGCATTAATGGTAGAATTAACATTTGCTCATGAAATTGGACATAGTTTAGGAGCAGAGGTTTATTAATAAGAATTATTTAATTAGTTTTTTGTAATTATTTTCTTTAGCATGATGATGATAAATGTGGAGAAGATGCAATATATGGTCATTATCTAATGTATAGAAGAGCAACAACTGGTTTAGAAGAAAATAATAATAAATTCTCCAATTGTAGTATGGAACAAATGGGACCTGTAGTAATTTCAATTAAAAATCAACTTCTTGGAAAAATTAATTGTTTAACAGGTTTTATTGATAAAAATGATTAAAATTAATTTTTATTTTCTATCTATAGAATGTTCACAAATTGGATATTGTGGAAATCGAAATGTTGAAGATGATGAAGAATGTGATTGTGGATTTATGTCAGAATGTACAGATAATTGTTGTTATCCAGCTGGAGGACCTGATGCAAAATTAAGTTGTAAACTAAAACCCAGTGCAAAATGCAGGTAATAATAAAAAAAACGAATTTTCTATTATAAAATTGAAACTTTATTCTTTTTAAATGTTTAGTCCATCAAAAGGACCATGTTGTTCGGATCAATGTACATTTCATTCTACAACACATATATGTCATAAAGATAAAACTAGTCAAGATTGTATTGGAGATGTTCGATGCGAGTAAGTTATTCTAAACAAATATTTATTAAACAAAATATTCCTAGTAATAATTATACTAATTGAAATAGGTCTTGATAGATAGTTAACATATTTAGTTCTTGTTTAATCGTAAGAATATACAGTTATTGATGCGTTGTTTAAAAAAGTCTCTTGTGATTAATCTAATTCGATACTTTAAAGTGATGATTTTGTATGAAAGATAATAGAGTAGTCGATTTCACTTATTGAACATTGTATGGTTACTAAAGCAAGTAAAACATCATTCTATTGGAAATAACTATAAGTTTAGTGCTATACAAAAACATTAGAAGAAAATTAAAAGACTCAATTCGAAATATTTTTTCAGTACTATCGTGATATTAACATCGAAAGCTATAAATAAGTGGTTTACTTTGTCATAAATATTAATTTCAATTTCTAGCGGTATTCAAGCAACATGTCCTCTTAATGATACACAATTTTTCAAACCAATCGATACACCATGTAATCAAAATACAGCATTATGTGATCGAGGGGTTTGTATTCAAAAAATTAAAATTATTTTATTTATTTTGTAAACAATTCTATTTTTAATTAGGAATGTAATAAAAGTATATGTACATTAATTGGAAAAACTGAATGTACTTTGACAATACCAAATGTTATAGAACCATTACGTCAACGAGGTATTGATCGAGAATATTTATGTCATATTGGTTGTTTTGAAAGTAAGAAATATTTGAAATGAAAAAGAAACTTTAATAATTTTTTATTTTGTATAGCACGAACAAATTCATGTATAGATACACATACTCTTCGAATGCCAAATAATTATAGTAGAAATGGATTTGGTTATATCCATCGACCTGGTTAGTTTATTTTAATTTGTTGTTTTTAGTTGTATTTTTATTTTTCTAGGACATGCTTGTGCTGGAACAGCTGGTTATTGTGATGTATTCGGTAAATGTCGTGCTGTTGATGCTGAAGGCCCATTGACTCGTTTAAAAAACATGTTACTTAATGACGAAAATATTCGTACGCTTACTGAATTGACTCATGTTTGTTTACTTCTTATTGTAATATTAAAAATATATCGTGTTTTTTATTATAGGATTATTGGTGGGCTTTCGTATTATGTGCATTAGGTTTACTTGGTTTTATGAGTATTTTTGTTAAAATTTGTTCAGTTCATACACCATCATCCAATCCACATATGATACCTGCTCGACCACTTTCATTCAGACGTAGAGTATGTTTGAAATTAAATCTAATCATTATGATTATTTATTTTTTGTTTTTATAATTTTAGTCTCATGGTTTGCAAGCTCCTCGTTCATCTCATTCTCCATTAACATTAATCGGAACTGAACTTGCTACTGTACCAGTCCAAAAATCAAGGTCGAACGTATATGTACATGAACCACTGACGTCAGATAATAAAACCAATACGTCTAGCCTTTAATCTCTCCTAATATTTTTCTTGTCAGAACAGTACTTTATCTTATTACGACCATTCCACTGTATTTATTGCTATCATCAGATTATATTTCCTATTCGAACATGGCGCCGATCAGATCTGATCCTTCTCATTTTTTTATATACCGTCATCTGGTGTTTTGTTTATTTGTAATTCTATATATACATATATTCCTTATACGCATAATTATTCACTTTAAAAGTGATTTTTCTTTATGTACTTAATGTACTTTTTTGGTGTTTTTGTATGCAGATAAAATTATTTGTTATAGTGTACCATTATTCTGTAATGATTCCGTAAACTATTTGGTGTATGTATAAATAATAATACGAATCGGTAGTGTCTTCTATATAATTTAAATAAATGATTTTGTTTTTATAAGAATACGAGAAAATTTTATTATCTTGAATTGGAATTGATATAAACAAACAATTCGTATCGGTAAATCAAGTTTGGCAAAAAATATTCCTCTTTTTTTTGTCTAAACATACATTAATGTGTAAAGAAAATACAACAATCTTGATTATTTAAACAAATTCCTAGCAGATGAGCATTCAAAATTATTCTTAATTGTTTTTGTTTCATAAAAATATCTATTTGTCAAAGTTTGTTCTGTTTCACCTTATTATAACAAATAAAATACATAGATAAGAGACACATATAGAAATATCCCGCTAATAACAGTGATATATTTTGTTTTCAAATAAAAGAACTTATGTATGAGTGAATGTATACAGAAGATAAAAGAGACTATCTTTAAAAGAGAAAAATGTATAGCAGCAATATTTGTGCCTGTTTGAAAACGCGAAAAACAAAATAAAGAGAAAGAAAATAATTAAAATGCCGTTAAAAAAAACAAGAATAACCACAAAGAATAAATGCTACCTTCATTGTAGCGAAATAAATTTAAATTAAAACTGTTTTGTTTAAGTGTCTTTGGAAGGCGTTGAATCGACAACACTATTTTCATTATCTATAAATAAAAAAGAAATCAATGAATATATATAATAATGATAATTAATATGATAAAAGCATCTATATTCCCATAAAACAAATAATAATACTAATAATAGGGTGAAGGGAAAGGGAAGAAAATAACTAAAATCCATCACCATGAAGATATCACCATTATTTAATGTGTAGAGTATACCCTCTATTCTTGATTTTTCAATCATTGATAAACGTTGTAAAATATCATTTGGGTTTACTGGTGAATGTCTTCGTTCATGGTTAGAATCAGATAAAATACTGGAACGACGATCTTCCCCACTTACTGTAGTCGGAGCACTATGACGATGGTATTCATTATCTTCGACTATTTCATCTTCATCGTTATAGTCATTTGATGTATAGAGTCCATCGAGATTATGATCATTTGGAGAAAAATGAAGTGTATTAGGACGAGCAAGTGTTGATTGACTTTGACTACGCGTAATACTAGCTTGACGATTGATTGATGATTTAAGAAAAGCAGCGGAATCGGATCCATGTGAATGATCAATAGATGAATGTTCTATTGATGGACTAGGTTCGTTTATTTCAGAAAAATTTGTTGGTTCTTCATCAGCAACTTGAATTAGAGAAACTTTCTTGGGTTTCTCAGGTGTAGTAGATAAAATGTTTCCATTTACAGGTGATTTCAGTGCTTGGGTAGAAAGATGTTCTGTAGGTAATGTTGACGATGGTGAGGCGATTGGAGAAATTTGATTTTCATTTTCAGTTTTTATGAATGATGTTTCATGTTGTTCTGCTGGAGATAGGATATGCAATGCTGCATTTTTTTCTTTTTCTATTAAAGGTGATGATAACGGAGATTTTTGTAATTCTTCATTGATATTATCTACGATAAAGTCATTTGTGTTTATTTCGTTCGATTTGTTTTTCTCATTGTCAAACACTTGATCTTCGTTTTTGAATGATGAAGATCGACTACGAACTTGTTGTTCGGATTCATTTGTGTTCGTTGGAGCAACGTGTTCGTTAAAGTTATGTGCAATCTCATAATTAAAATTCGTTGGTGATATTAATGGTGAAAAAGATGCTTTTGACGAAGGGGAATTTAATGTATTATGATTTGTTTGTTCAAATGGATATTGAGGTTGATTCTCATTTACTGGCGACGCCAATGAATCAAATTTATGTTCTTGTTGACTATCCGTATTAGGTGATGAGATCGTTTCATTTATTGATTGTACTTCATTTGTGAAATCACTGGATGCATTTAACAAAGAATCTTCATGTACAAGTGATGACGATCGACTTTTCTGTTGTTCTTCTCCATTAGAGGGAGATGCGATTTGATTTGGTTGCTGATCTTGTTCAGAAGTACTCGATTTCGATCGACTTCTTTGGTCTTTCTGCTCTTCAAGATCTGGTGACAATACGATTGGACTTCGTTCTTCATTTTGTTCCATATTGAATGATGGAGATCGACTTCTTAGCTTGCTTTGATCAGTAACAGGTGATACCGATCGACTTCGTTCGTGCATCTCTTGGGAAGCAGATTGAATTGCTACTTGATTCTTTTCACCAATAGGTGATCCAGAACGACTGCCATCCCGATTTTCTTCAATAAGTGGTGATGGGGATCGACTACGTTGTTGGTTCTGTTTCTCAGTAGATAATATAGATTGACTTCTTCGTTCTTTTTGTTCGTTTATCGGCGATGGTGATCGACTTCTTTGCTGTTTTTCTTTGGTAAAAGGTAATGGGGACTGACTGCGTACGTCATTTTGTTCAATGGTGGGTGATGCAAATCGATTTGGATTTTGTTCTTGCTCTTGATCTAGTCCGATACTAGGTGATGGAGATCGACTCCTTTGTTGCTCACGTTGAGTGATAGGAGACGGCGACCGACTTCGTACTTGACTTTGTTCAATGGAAGGTGATGCAACTTGAGTTAGGTATGGTTCTTCTCCGGTACCAGGTGATGGAGATCGGCTTCTTTGTTGTTCATGTTGACTAATAGGTGACGGAGATCGATTTGGTTCTTGGCTGTCTTCAATAACATATGCAGACTGGTTCAATTCTATTTTTTGTCCAATACTAGGTGATGGAGATCGACTTCTTTGTTCCTCTTGTTTCATAGTAGGCGATGGAGATCGACTGCGCTCTTGGTTTTGTTCTACGATAAGTGACGCAGATCGATTTAATTCTGATTCTCCTTTGAGACTAGGTGATGGCGATCGACTTCTTTGTTCTTCTTGTTTGGTACTAGGTGATGGGGATCGACTTCTTTGTTGTTCATGATGAGTAATCGGTGATGGCGATCGATTCTGTTCTTCTGTTTCTTCAATGACATATGCAGGCTGATTTAGTTCTGGTTTTTCTCCAATACTAGGTGATGGAGATCGACTTCTTTGTTCCTCTTGTTTCATAGCAGGTGAAGGGGATCGACTGCGCTCTTCATTTCGTTCAACAGTAGGTGATCCAGATCGGCTTAGTTCTGCTTCTTCCTTCAGACTGAGTGATGGAGAATGACTTCTTTGCTCTTCCTGCGTAGCAGTAGGTGACGGAGATTGGTTCTCCTCTGGGTTTTCCTCAATATCATATGATGCGGGCTGATTTAGCTCTGCTTTTTCTCCAGTACTAGGCGACGAAGATCGGCTTCTTTGTTCCTCTTGTTTCGTGACAGGCGATGGGGATCGACTGCGCTCTTGGTTCTGCTCAACGATAAGTGATGCAGATCGCCTTAGTTCTGATTGTCCTTTCAAACTAGGTGATGGAGAACGACTCCTTTGTTCGCCTTGTTTCATGACAGGTGACGGAGATCGGCTTCTTTGTTGTTCGTGATGGGTAACAGGTGATGGTGATCGAATCTGTTCTTGGGTTTCTTCAATAACATATGTAGATTGATTCAGTTCTGGCTTTTCACCAATACTAGGTGATGGAGATCGACTTCTTTGTTCTTCCTGTTTCATGATAGGCGATGAGGATCGACTGCGCTCTCGATCTTCTTCAATGACGGGTGATGCAGATCGAATTAGTTCTGGTTCTCCTTTGAGACTAGGTGATGGAGATCGGCTTCTTTGTTGATCATGTTGAGTAATAGGCGATAGCGATCGACTCCGTGCTGAATTTTGTTCTACGATAGACGAATCAGATCGATTTAGTTCTGATTCTCGTTTAATACTAGGTGATGGCGAGCGACTACGTTGTTCTTCTGGTTTTCTAATAGGCGATGGAGATCGGCTGCGTTCTTTGCTTTGTTCAATGAAAGGGGATACAGATTGATTTGGTTGTTGTTCTTGTTCAATACTAGGTGATGGAGAGCGGCTCCTTTGTTCCTTATCTTTGATGATAGGCGATGGAGATCGACTTCTTACTTGATTTTGTTCAAGGACAGGTGATGTTGATCGATCTGGTTCTTGTTCTGGTTTAATACTAGGTGATGGAGATCGACTCCTTTGTTCTTTTTGTTCGATGGTAGGCGAAGGGGATCGACTTCTTTTATTTTCTTGTTCGATAAGAGATGATGCAGCTCGACTTCGCGTTTGTTCTCCTTCAATATTCGGTGATGGAGATCGACTTCGTTGAAATTTTTCTTCAACACTAGGTAGTCCAGTAGTAGTTTCATGAGAATCAAATTTGATATCACCTGTCTCAAATGTGGGTGATTGGTCTGCTTCAGTAGACCCTGGATTTTCTGCTATCGGGAAAGTTGATTCAAGTGTTTCCTGGATAGAAGACTTTCGTTGACCATTTTCTGTAGGCAGTGAGATATTTTGTTGTTCAAGCTCATTGGTATTTACATTTGATGTCGATACCGATATAGGTAATTCATGTGCTAATGAACTTTCTGGTAATCCTTCCTTTGAAATATTAGCGTCATCGATTTGTTGTGTATCAAACGATAATGAATTGAGTGGCTCTTGATTGGTAGTTGGCATTTCAGAAGTTTCAAGTGTTGTAGGCGATATTGGTCTTGATTGAATGAGTGGTTTTGAGGTTCGTTCATCAGATGATAAAGGTTGCTGTTCGAGTTGTTCATCTTGTTGATGAGATTCATTTGCAATGGAACTTGATGAGAGAGATGGACTAAAAGATTTTATTTCACTATTTCGACGACTTGAATTTAGAGATTGTTTCAGGTCATCTTGTTGCTCTGTCTTGCTATCGATAGATGAAATATCATCAAGAGTTGATGTAAATATCTCGTTTTGTGTTCCCGTTGGAGATATTTGTTGATTGTTTTCAGGATTTAAACTAGTTGATAGTGAAAATGAGTTATGTTCTATTGATGCCGATCGATCAGATAATTTATTGTCATTATTCATAGCAGGCGAAGATGATTCTGACTGATTTGTCAATAAGAGATTATTGTCATTTTCTGTAGATGCGAGTTCATTGGATTGCGATGGAGAAATAGGTCTTGACTGGATAGCGGAAAATGAATGGTCCGTAGTTGATTCACTATTTTCAGAATGAGAAACATCTTTTGCTGCAACTTGTGCAACATCCAGTTTGTTTTCAGTGAGAGGTGATAATAGAGAAGGAGAATTAAGGGTTTTTGTATCGGAATTATGCGTAAAATTAGAATTAGAATCGTGTTGAGATTTTAATTGATCTTCATTTACAACTGATTCATGTTCAGTTGTTGAAGTATCATTCGATTGCTTTTCATTATGATTGACAGGTACAGATTCAATGTTAGGTATTGATGATTGTTTATTTTCATTAGTATCAAATGTTTTTATAGTTTCATTATCTTCCAACGGTGTTCGAACAACTGTTGGTGAAGTCGAAGTACTATCACCTTTACTTTGTTGTTCAACTAGAGGTGATAGAAGTCTAGGTGGAGATTCCGTATTTAATGGGGAGGCAAACGGTTTATGTGATGTAGGTGTTCTTGTACGACCCGGTGGTGGTGTTACAGCAAATGTTAGAGGATGCTGTTGTAATCGTTTTGATGAAGGTGTTGTTGGAGATTGACTTGCTGGAATAAGATTAGAGGATATGGTTGGATTTTTTTATCAGATTTTTCCTTTCTTTCTTTCTTTTTATCTCTATACTCTTTTTTTATCGATTCTTATGAGATGATATGAATCATCCGAAAAAAAAAATAAACTGCTTACTTTGTCTTTGTGCACCAGGTGTAGTACCACCTGTTGGAGTTACTGCACCGCCTGATTTTCTTGTGAGTAGACTGTTGAAAAAATTGGCTAATGCACCTTCGTTCGCCGCCGTATTTGCACCACCGGGTGTTGTACTCTGAATAAAATAATATTTTTATTCTTAATAAAATGAAACAAAAAAACGTCAAGAAAATATAATCATACTGGTTGATTTCGTGATCGTCCAGCTACAGATGGTGTTTGAGAACCAATACCACCACTTACACCTGATGTTCGTGTATGTACTGGTGTTGCTGTTTCATCCTATTAACAAATATAAAATTAAATGATATAATAGTTTTTCAAAAAAAAACTCTTACTGCTCTTCCAGGTGATGCAGCTCGATTAAGTGTTAATTGAAGTTTTGCTAAAAATTCTTGATCATCTTCAGCAGCAATAATTTCATTATCACGTTGTAATGGTCGTCGAACAATAGGTTTAACGAAAACATCTGAATAATTATCTGTTGGTTTAAGTCGATGAAGATTTTCTAATAGAATATCCGCTTTTTTTGGATTATCCCAACCAGCTGGAATAAAAATTGAATCACGTTCAACAATAGCAGCTGTTGATGTAAATGGATAACCATAACATTTGTATACAATATATTTATATAATTTATCTATATTTTTTTTCTCTTTAATAGATGTATAAAACAATGCGGCACCATCTAAATAAATAGAATAATTCTATTGTTTAACAAAAGAAAACTATGTTTTTTTTTCTTATCTTACATTCTAAACAAAATTTTCTTAAATGATACTGCATAAAATCAAAATATTCATCTTTATAATCGTTTTCTTTTTCTAATGTTGGCATAACATCACATTTTGTTATAACAACAATAACTGGTATACCAAGTGATTTTGTTAAAACACCATCAGGAAGTGGTAATACAACTTGTTCATCACCATTTATTGTTGGACTTAATGTTGCTGTTGATGCAAGTGAAACAGATGAAATAGAATTTGGTACACGACTACCACCTGCTCCACTTTTAAGCGTTGCTGTTGATGTCGATGATGTTAACATGATAGATGTATCATTTGGTTCGACATAATGTTGAAATTCAGATTGAAGACGATCACGCATATCACGTAAACGTATTGGATCAATTTTTAATCGATCAATATGTTCTTCGAGAAGTGCTGTCCATTTCTTTAATGTTGATAATAATAACCATGGATGAGTCATACTTGCAACAAGAATAAGAAGTGTATTATCTAATGTATCTGATTTAATAGCAAATTTTAATAATGGAGCTGAACATGCTACATCACCATCAAGAATCCATACACCTAGTTTCGGAGTATCTAATAGATTGAAAAAAAGGAAATTAAATTTTAATTTCTAAAGCAAAACATTTAATAATACCATCTCGATCATCATCTTTAACATCAATATAATGATATTCAAGACCAGCACCTCTTTTTGGATCATCATTTCCTTGTAATTTTGCTACTAATGTTGTTCGACCACTTTCATTATCACCTAAAACGACTAAAGTCTTTGTTGCTGGTGCTGTTTTTGTTGATGATTTAACGTCGCGTAATATGGAAGCCCTTTTTATAAATCAATTAAAAGAAATATTTCGAATTTAACATAATTAATAAGATTAATTTACCAAATACTTGGCTTTTCATTAGTATCATTTCCATTCTCTAAAGATGAACGAGATTCGTCAATAGTATCCTGCTTCGTCATTGTATAAGTCTTGTTTCTATAATGAAAACAGAAAAAAAACACATTGTTATAAGTAACAGCAGTTATATTTTTTCATCAAGGTCCGAAAATACGAAAAAAAGAGGAGAGACGAAAATGAGAATAAAAGCTGGTGCATTCAATGGTTTATTTTTGACTTACGGATGTTACAATAAACGATGATGGATGGATAAATTGTAAAGAGAAAAATGCGAGCACATTTGGGAATGTTACTAACGGTTAAAATCATTTACCAATAGAAATATCAAATAAAATCCTCCGTTTCTAAGACAATTCACTTATGATGATTCGATGAAAAAATATCCAATGAAATTGTTTTACAAGTTAACTATCTATATATGATATTTTATTGTAAAAAAAATCAAAGGCACATTAAAAAAAAGAACGAGATTTTTTAAAATTGTCAATTGTTTTTTCTTTATAATGAACCAATATTCAGTAGACTTTTATCCATAAAACGACGACGAACAAAACAAAGCCACCACTAGAACAAAAGTTTGAATAAACTGATTTATAAATAAATCATTATTAGTACTTTCGATGGTTTATCGGTTTCAGAGTCCATCACTCGATCAACCATACGATCACTACATTCTTTACGTAATTGTTCGAGATATTGTTTCATTCTATCTAGGAAGGATAATTATTGTATAATTTAACCGATATATAATAATTAATTACTAACCAACTTCATCAGGAGCTGGTTTAACAAACATTCCATTGAGTGGAAAATCTGCATCACCTGGAATTGGAAATGTTGATATAGCTAATGATGATAATTCTTTTTGTGCTTGAATACGTGATTGACACTAGAATATATTCATAATTATTATTGAATCAAAACGAAGTAATAATTGTACCTTCTGAAGACGTCGTAAACATTCAGTTATATACAATGTTAAATAGATTAATGTTCTATCAGCATCATGCTTTAATAAATTATTGAATAGATCGATTTAAAATATATTTTTTAAACTTACTTTAATATCATAATTACGAAAGAAAATATTAGCTCGAAAAAATTTTATTGCTTCATCAATTATATCTTCATTTTCTGTAGCTAAAAAGAAAATATAATAAATTTTTAAAAATCTACGACGATACTAAAAATTTTCAGAACCGTTTCTATCGCTTCGAGCTCTCAATATATTGAAAATATAGAATGTGACAAAAAACCAGAATACAACTGGGGTTTTTGTAACTCATGATTAAGTTTCTATTACAAAGTCACTCTTAATATATGTCTCGATCAAACTTTGTATAATATTTTATTGATGAATTCATTAGGAAAAGACTAATAATAAGATCTACTAACAATCCACTAATTCGGAAGATATTCTATCGATGTTTTTCTAATACTAATATCTATTTGATTATCTTGTCTTTTGATAGACAAGCTTACATGTTTCGGTAGGAGCTGGACCACTATAACGTGTTCGAATAGGTAATAATGCCATATTTCCTAGACGAAATTTGCTATTAGCAAATGAAGAATGATAAGCCTTGAATAAAATAAATAAATTTTAATAAAACTAATTTGCACATTTGAATTTTTACCATTATCTGTTGAAAAGAAAATCTAAAAAGAAAATTATGAGCCATTTTTCCTACTAAAACAAAACCGATCTCATCAGATAAAATAATATAATGAATAAAATAAAAACATAACCGAGAGAGAGAAAAAAAACAATCCAACGTGAAAGAAAAACATATTCATACACAAATGACAATGTGTAATTGCAAATAATGAAATAGATAATTTCCAAAAATAAAAACAAGATTAAATTTGTGAAATTTTATCAGTAGATATAGTTGATGTTGGAAGCGCCGATTGATTCATAAGATTTGTATCTCGTTCATTATTTGATGATATTGAAGTGACTGTATTTAATTGTTGATCAGTTGAATTATATTCATTAGTATTAGATTTTATTATAGGTTGTTGAAGATTATCAGTTGATTCCTGATCAACATATTGAATTAATAATTCAGCAAATGACTGAAATAAAAGAAAATGATAATCTCAAAAGAAAATGTTTTTAAACTGACTTTATCGGGATGATAAACTCGAATATCTGATTTTGATTTGGATGGATTTGTACCAAGCCAACCAGTTAACCAACTAGTACTTGTATTAATATTATTATAATTATTTGTCATAGCATTCATAGCTTTGTCATATTCATCTTGTGTAAATCCAACTAATGCACTTAAAATTGGAATAACTTCTTGTTGTTTATCAAATGGTGTATGAAAATATGATAAAAGAATATTTTTTACAATTTGTTTTTCAATACGTGTATTATTTGTTGTTTGAACATTTTCATTATAATCAATACTTTGTTTAGTTTTAGAATCAATTTCATCTTGAAGTTTATTTATTAATAAATCTTTTGTTTTCATTTCATCATTTAACTGATATATAGATGATTGAGCTTGATTATATTCTTCTAAACGTTGACGAATTTCATTATTTTCATTTGTTAAACGAGCTGATACGGATATTTGTTCTTGATATTGACGTTGATGTTCATTGATATATTGTTCATATTCTAAATAGAAAAACACAATAAATATATAGTGTTCGTATTTAATAATATTTGAGAACGATTAGAAAATATAGCTTAATCTGTAGGGATGTACCCAGACCCGAGCCTCTCGAACTCCGGGCTTGGCAGGTTCGGGGCTTGGTTAGGGCTCTGATGTCATGAATTGATGTGGGAGTGGGTGAGTGTGGGTGAAAATGTGGGTGGAAGTGAAAAGGATAGTACCCGCACTCACCACACCTACACTTAATCTCGATTTTACTTCGTGTATTTCTCTAACAACTGACATTTATTTTCTAATGTAATTCTATTAAATACCTTGTTGAAATTGTTTTTGAGTATTTTCTAAATTTTGTGAATATTTTATCTGTTCTTGTAATTGAGTATTTAAATTACTATTAAATTCTTTGAGTTTATTATATTCTTCTTTTAATAATTCTAATTCTGTAACTAATATTTGTTGAGATTGTTCACCATCAACATTAAGTTCAGTTTGTAATCGATTTGAATCATTTAATTGTTGAAGCTGATTTCTTAATGTCTGTTCTACTTGTTGTAAATATTCTATATTTTTAATTAATTTTTGTTCACTTTCTTCATATTTTAAAAGCTAAAATATGAAAATAATCTTTTATTAGATAACAAAAAAAAGCAAAGAATTTCAACCTTTTCTCGATTTAATTCCATTTCATTTTCTAATTGTTTTTTTTTCCACAACAGCTAAATCTCGTTCATGTGAAATACGTTTTAAATCAATTTGTATTTGTTCAAATAATTGTTGATTTGATTTAAATTTAAAATCATTTTCTTCTAAAATTTTTATCTTTGATTCTAATTCTAATTGTTTATTAATAAATTGTTTTTCATTAATAATTAATTGTTGTAATTGTATATCACGTTCATTCAATGTTGAATTTAATACATCAATATCATCAGATTTTTTCTTTTGATGATATAATAAATTTTGATAAGTATTTAATTCATTTTGACATTGTAAATATGCTTCATTTTTTTGTTGAATTAATGATTGAAGAGAATCATAATTAATTTGAAGTTGACTATGTTTTGTATTAAGTTCATTATAAAGACTAATAATACGTGTATATTCATTATAATATGATAATGATTCCTCATGTTGACGTTTAGATAATTCAAGTAATTCATCATAATCTATACGAAGTTTTTCATATTGTTCTTGACTAACTATTTGTTCCATCTAAATGAATAGAGATTTTTTAGATGCACTTATATCATAATCTGTCACAAAAGAATCTCAAATTTTATCAATAACTATGTATTCTATATTCGAAAGATGTGAATTGCCAAAAGAACGGATTGGGAATGAAAATGCCCAATCAGTGTATCTATAAATTATTTTAAACACAATAATAAATGTTTGAAAATGGCTTGCAATTCATACAATACAATTTTGTAACCGGTCCGGAAAGGACCGGTGCAGTTTTTCCCCGATCAGCTACAACTCTGCAGTATAACATCAAGTCATGACACATATGTATCAATGCATCGATATGAAAAACGAATATTTATAACTGATGATCGATAGAATTTTTTAGTTCTGTTTCAAACATACTCCTTCTCGATAATTCCAAATCTTTAGAGAACGAATGTCGTATTGAAATATTTTATTTTTCTATAAAAATATTTGTGAGACAATGACTTACATTTTGTCCTCTTGGTGACATATCTTTTGTTAATAATCCTGGTGATTTTTCTTTTTCTGGTGATGTTTGTTTAGGTAAAATTTGAATCATAGCTTGTTGTTCTTGTCGATCACGTTCAAATTCAGCAAGTTTTTCAATAAAATACATTTTTTCTTTTTTTAAAGATGAATTTTCTCTTAATTTTTCATCAAGTATATTTCGTATATCATTTAATTCAATTTGTTTAATTTCTTTATCAACTTCCATTTGTTGTAAATTTGAACGTAATATTTCTAAATTCTTTCTTAAATCTTCACGTGTTTTATCTGCTTGTTGTAAGAAAACTAATTCTTGTTCTTTTTCATTTAGTAAAGATGAAAGAAGTTCATTTTGTGCAATTAATTGTTGTTTTTCACCTGGTGTAATTGATGCTAGTGATTGTCTTGATGGTGCACGTTGACTAAATTCAAGAATTTCTTCTAATTCATCTTCATCACTTTCATAAGATTTATGTTTATTAAATAATGATTGTTCTTCATGTAATTGTGTTAATTTATCTGTTGTTAATTCTAAATGTGTTCGAAGTTTTTCAAGTTCATCTTGTTTTTCAATAAGAATTTGTTTTAAAGAATCAAGTTCTTCTTGTATAATAGAAAATGTACCGAAATATGTTGAAAACTGTTCAAATAAATTTGTAAATCGATTAATTAATGATAATTGTGTATTATCTGACAATGAAAATTCACCAGGTAAAAGAGTAACGAATTGATCATAGATAGAATTTAACTGAAGTAATTCTTGTTTATTTTGAATAAATAAAGATTCATGTTCAAATGTTTGTCGAGAAGGAGAAATATCTCGAATATGTGATGAAGAAGGAATCATAGGTGGTGAACCAGGTGTTATAGCAGTTGTCTAAAGTATATAAAAACATTTGTCAATACAATTACTATAGGAACTTCTGTTATCAATAGGAAAAATATCTTCGATAGATGAATGTCATGAATCGATCTTTTTCTAGTAGATCATAATTTATTGAATTAAAAGAAAATGATAAAGCTCTGTATAACGTTTTGATGAGTTAATTTAAAAGAAAAATTATTCTCGAAGTTGAACAGCTGTCGTAGAATAGCCCAGTATAAATTCAGTAACGTATCATAAACTATTTGTTTAGAGACACTTATGTACTATATAATTTAACAGCTACATACAATCATAAAGATATATTTAATTATTACAATTTTTATGATAGTAATGAAGAAAGAAAAATTAAATTTATTTTCTATGTATATGGCATAGTTGTTTGTTTACGATATCAATGATTTTCTTATAATTAGTGCATGATTATAAATCATTGATTGAGATCAAATTCAGGAGAGTTTAATGTAAGCATAAACTCTTAGTCATAAATACTTAAAGTGGATGTGTTTTATTAGACTTTTTTGTGCATCTTTCATTTCATAATTATCTATTTTTGTGGTTTATAAATCTACGTAATGAATTTCACCTTTAAGAATATGTCTGTCACGGTCAGTGACGTTTCTATCTAAGTATTTGTCACGGTCTATTGATGAAAATGAATCCAATTTTTACCTTTACACTACAATAGTTCGTTTAATTGATGTTTTATACAATAATATATTCTGATATTCAGAAAGTTGTCAAGATTATCATTAATGATTAGAAAACTTCATATATTCAAATACTCTAGATCTAATCTGACTTGATATCTATATTTAAATTTAAAAAAAAACGACTTCGCTTGCAGTACTTTCAATATTGAACTCACTTGAAAAGTTTCGATTTGTCTATCACGTGATTGTAACTGTTGCCGAAGTTCATTTAATTCATTACTCAAATCGACTTTATCATTTTCTAATGTTTGAACTTCTTCATTGAGTTCAATTAATTGTCGTTCAAACATTTCTCGAAGATTTATTTCTTTCATACGATTTTCTTGTTCCTATCAAAGAAAAATTAGATAATAACGATCATTTTGAAATAAAAAATCTATTTCTTACCTCCATTTCATTTTTCATATGATTATCTTTGAATTTTTGAAGAATTTCTCGTTCATTTCTCTACATATAAAAAATTTACATATAGAAAGAAAAATGAATAATTTATATTTTCAAACTTCAGTTTCAATCTGTTTTTCTTGAGATTGAATTTCATCTCGGAGAATCTTTTTTTCTTGTTCAAAATTTTCTTTTAAATTTGTTTCAATTTGTAAAATTTTTTCTTCTGATTCTAGACGAGTTTCTTCAAGACGTTGAAATATTGTATCATAACGTTTTTTTTTCTTCAATAAGAAGACGATGCATATCTTCACCATTACTAGCTAAATAATAAATTATTATTATATTTAAATAAGAATATAAATCAATAAATACTTGGTTGTTTTTTCTTCGTTGAACGTAATTGATCGAGTTCATCTTGTAATTGAGATATCGTTTCTTCATATTCATCAAGACGTTCCAATGCTAATTGATTATTTTTTTGTTGTAATTGTATACGTTGTATATCATTTTCTAATTGTCTATTACGTGATGTTACTAAATCAATAGTTGATTGTAAATTTGAAGATTCAGTATTTTTCGATGAATTATTATCTAAAAAATCATAAATTATATAAACTAAAGATAATTATCGAATAACAAACCTTGATAATCTCCATTCCAATCTTCGAGTTCTTTGATTGTTTTTTTCAATATACTAATTTCATCTTTCAATTGAGTATTTTCATCTTTTAAAGTTTGCATTTTTAATTCAACATCATGGCTATAGTTTTGAGTTTCGTTGGATGGACTTGTTTTGCTCGTCATTTTTCATATAGTAATATGACGAACAACTGGAATAATTTAGTTTAAAAGATAGTAAAATAGTAATTAGTAAAATATATAGTAATAATGATATGATTCATATGATAATATAAGAGGATAGAAGAATTCTCCAGTGATTGATATAAGTTACTCAGATGTCGCTGTATTTTTATCAAAATTAATTTCAAAAATTTATATATACTACTCTTATTAGTATTTCTTTAGTTGACTTGTAATACTAAAGTATTTTGTACCGAAATTATGTCTTTGCCTGAAGATTTCTCCAAAGTTCAACATGACTAGAAAAAGTTTCATGTTTTTATTAATTGTTCTCAATCATCGAGTATCTGTAACAATATTTAGTAGTTTCATTATCACAAAATATATAAAATTAAATTATAACAGACTTATTAGTAATCATAGAGACGAAAAATCATAATCTAATAGATTTTTTACATTTAAATAACATTTTAGAGATTTGCTATATTTTTAAATAAATCAATATCATTATCAACTAAAAGATTACGGATGAATATAAGTGATTTCATAATTCTATTCATATTCTTATAAGAGCATAATAATAAAACTTATTTTGCTCCTTTTTTTTCGTGGACAGAACCCCACCCACTCTCAGTAATTCCTATAATTAAATGTACTATTATTTACTTTGATTCATTTACTGAATAATTTTTATTAGCGAATTATAGTTTAAAAATATAATAATTTCAGTAATCTTTTATTTTTCAAACTCAATATAAGATGGTTCTGGTATAATACAAATCAGAGCTTGACAACAAAAATATAGAAAAGATTGAAGAAGGTTTTTATTTCGAAACATAAGAACTATTATTAAACAATATTTTTCAATATAAATGTTAGCCACATATTAACATAAGCGATATCCATAGCAGGAATGTTCTGTTGAGAGACAATTGTATAGAATTTTTCGCAAGAGAGAACAGAATATTTCACAAAGCAACTATCCATTGCAAATTCGTTGAGTGATTCTAGTGAACGACCATGTAGCGTTTGTTGTACCAATCGAGTCTTCCATTCATCAAAGGGTACACCCACCATCTTGATACTAAGATGATTGGCACTTGTGATAACATTTTGAAAAGGCAGTCCGCCATGAGGATGTATAACATGATAAACATTTCCATAAACGTCAGGTTGCATGAGACTTAAATGAGCGATACTTTCGGCAGCAAAATTAATCGGTAATGTATTGAGTTTTGTGTCGAATGCTCCAGTGGGATAGCAACCTGTCTTCAAGCTAGTAGCGACTATAATAGTATTTATATCCAATGGATTACATGAGCCTGTTTTGCTATCACTACACATTGAACCCAATCGATAGATAGCAACTGGAAGACCAGCACGATTGGCTTTAGCCATAAGTTTCTCTGCTACCCATTTACTTTGTGCATAACCATTAGTTAGATCATCAGGTGGAATCTCATCAATATGTACTTCATGTACGATACCTGGAGGTAGAACACTAATAGTTGAAATATATTGCACAGGAATACAACAAGATGTATGAGTAGCAAGACGAATAATCTCACGAGTACCACAAACATTCGATCCATATAATTGACTATAAGGAAGCACAAAATTCACCGTAGCACCACAACAAAAAATAATATCAATCTGATTCGCAAGTGTATCGTACGTTTTATCGTCAAGTCCGAATTTGATCTGAGCAAGATCACCACGAAGTGGTATGATGCGTTCTTGAAAATTATCTTGCCATAAATGAAGAAAAAGTAAATTTTCTCGAATTCGATTCATGGGATCCATAGATGATTGACAACGTACAAGACAAATAAACTTACAGTCAGTTGGATACTTTTGTAACATTTCGAATAACAAGAAAGCTCCAACGAATCCAGTCGCACCGGTAATAAAAACCATCGATGGAGAACTATTTACTTTTCTTGGTTTCCCAATTATACTTTCAAGTTCAAGTTCAGTATCAAGTAAAAGTCGAGTACTAATCTTTTCTTCAAGTGCAGAAGACGAACTTTGAGCGAGTTCTGTTAAACGTTTCAAATTCATTGTAGGTTCGAAAAGAATACTAACTGGCACTGTTACTCCAAGATCTTCGCGAATCATTCTTGACAAACGTACAGCAGTCAACGAATTGCCACCACCAATTAGAAAATTGACTTCATTGTCATCTGTTAATATTTCACCGGTAACAGTTTCGATAATTGTTTTTAATTGTTTCTCAATGTTAAACGTTTTCTTCAAACGATCGACATATTTTGCAGCTAACTTAGGACGACATGGCTTCATTGAAGAGGTTAGAAGTCCATTTTCAACTGTGAAAGGTTCAAAGTCAATGACTATTCTTGATGGAATTTCATGCTTTCGAAGTGACTCTTTTAATCCGATAGAATGTAATTCGCGCATAATTGTGTTATAAAATTTTGGATCAGAATCTAATAATTTCATATTGTCATTATTATTGGCAAATACCTGAGCACGATCTTTATTGGGTATGATAACAGCAGTAACATTATCTTCAAGAAGATCACCATGAATATATATTTGATCAATAAATGAACTTTGACTGAACACGCCTTGAAGATATTCTGGCGAGATAAATTGTCCTTGCGCAAGTTTGAAGAAACTTTTCTTACGATCAATAATGTGGATTTGAGGCGGTTGAGATGGTATTTGGCGTAATTCGACTATATCTCCAGTACGAAAGAATCCATCATCGGTCAGTGCCGCTCGAGTTTCTTCTGGATTATTCACATATCCTGAAAACATCTGAGGAGTTTTTGTTAAAAGTTCGCCTCGTGGAAATGGTTTATCGTCAGTTGTAAAGTCCATTTCAGGAACTGATTCAAGACGATAGACAACAGATGGATCTACAAAACTGTTAAATGATATACCACCACATTCTGTAATTCCATAGGCATCCTCAATTCGACATCGTCCAAAACATCGCTTTAAAAAATCAAGAACCATTGGACTGATTAATGCTCCAACGATAGCAATCGTTTCACATCTTAATGGAATTAATTTTGAAAATTCTTCAATAAGTTCTACTTCTTTTTGTTTGAATTCTTGTGGATTATCAGTTTCAATTAATGAAAGAGCTGTCTTGTATTCCGAATAAATTTTATTCCAAATACTTGGTGGAGCCGGAAACATCATTGGTCTAATAAGAGCTAATTCTTCCATCAGTCGAGATACATTTCCAGTAGAAAATCCTACTCGTCCTCCGCAAAGAAATGTCCAGAGTACGCTGTTTCGACCTCCATACCAAGACAGAGGTTGATAAGAGAAGATTATAGATTCACCTGTATGCGGTGATAGTCCTTCGGGAAAGATCGATCTAAGAGCACTATCAGAAATCATTACACCTTTTGGAGAACCCGAACTACCACTTGTATAGATAATAGTGAGACAATCAGTTGGTTGAGCTGTCGGATATGAATACGACCGAGAGGAGCCTATATTTTCGATGTCATTCATATAATGAACTGAGATTGACATAGATGTATCTGTAGCTAACTCAGACACTGTATCCATACAGATAATATGACGAAGAGATGGACATTCTGAGTGTAATTTGAGAAATTTTGGTAGCGTTTCTTTATCACAAACAACTACAGAGACTGCTGTATTATTAATAATAAAAGCTATATCACGATCACTTGTTAGATTATAGATTGGTACACTAATAATACAATGAAACATACATGCCCAATCGGTTATTATCCATTCAGGTCGATTTGATGAACAGATAGCAAGATAGCTACGTGGTTCAATCAGTTTCCGTAGCCCATAACCGAAATTGATTGCTCGATCACCTATACTTTTGTATGTTAGCCATGTATAAGAATTAGAATAATTTTCTGGATTGTCTTTATTAACATCACGTACACCCAGGCAATGTCGATCGCAATATATTTCCATCGCAGTGTAAATTTCAGCTCTCATACTTTTTTCATGACAAGTTCTATCTTCTCCACTACCAAATGCTAATTCGGGAACGAGTATATGAGGATGTGGTGGATTCATATTCGTCGTACATTCTTCACATTGATCATAATTACCACAGACGGTACAATTATAACGATATGTACCATGATCAAATGTACGATGGCATACATCACAGTAGAAAAAACTTGGTTTCTTCACAGGATTCAGCATAGATTATTAATCTAAA